CAGGCGCCGCCCGGGTCGCGGGCCGGGCCCTTGTACTTCTCCAGCAGCTCGGCCACCTTGGTGGAGGCGGCGGAGCGCACGGCCTCGCCGCCCGGGCCCAGCGTCTCGCTCACCGTTTGCTCGCGGTGCAGCAGCTGCACCTTCTCTGTGGCGGCGGCCGTGGGCCCGGCGGTGCCCTCGGCCTGGGACGCGAAGATGAGGGAGGAGCGCAGCCGGGAGCTGCGCTGGATGAGTGGCGTGAGGCGCGAGCGGAACGAATCCTGCGTGGCGAGGCCCGCGTCCTCCGCGCTGCCCCTGGGCTTTGCGCATGCGCGAGCCACGTAGAGCCCCCAGCCAATCCTGTGGCACCTGGTGACGGCGAAAGGCAGATGACCAATGGGAAAACGACAGTGTTCCTATTCCCTATATAAGCGGCCATGTTTTTGTGCGCGCGCTCTCGCGCTCAAGCTCTCCTACAAACAAGAAGGCTGTCCAATAAAGCGTGATCTGAGAAGACTCCTGGTGTGGTGGTCGTTCTTCCTCGCTGGCCGAGAAGGCGTTCGCCGCACACAGTCTCTCCTGCCTGGGCTGGCTTTGAACCGCGATCCTCAGATCTCAGCCTCCTGAGTAGCTAGGATTACAGGCTTGAGCCACCAGCGCCCGGCTGTCCTTGAGATTCTTAATGTCCAGTTAACCACTGAGAACCTCAAGTAGAGCGGTGGCTCGGGCCGTGCCTGGGGAGCTCTGCAGAGCTCGGGCTGCGTGGAAGCCCAGGCACAGGACGTGTACGCTGTGGCTTATGCCCCCATGTCTTCCCTTCCCCAGCTTCTGAGTAAAAAACAAAACACACCGCTGCCTGTCCAGGGGCCTTGGCTCTTGCTGTTTTTTCCTTCTTCGAGGCTTGAACTCAGGCCCAGGACACTGGTTTTTTGCTTACGGCTAGCGCTCTACGGCTTGACCCTCAATTTCCCACTCTGTGTGTTACTAATTATAGATAGGAGTGTTACAAGATTTCTTGCCTTCGCTAATAATGAATGTGGCTTGGTGGTGGAGTGCTCGCCTGGCATGCACAAAGCCCTGGGTTCCATTCCACACACACACAATGCTGGAAGTGGTGCTGTGGCTCAAGTGGCAGCGTGCTAGCCAACACGAAAAGAAAACAGAAGAGCAACCTTGGACAGAGGACAGATCCTGTGTGCTAGCAACAAATAGGAAAAGGACCAAGACCAGGCTGGGCTGGCGCACCAGGCGTCTGCAAGAGTATGGGGACCACCCATGCCTCACCCATGCCCCGTGGGGGGCACTACTCAATGAATGAGGCTGCGGCACAGGTGTCCATCCAGACTTTTATTGTGCTTGTGTTCCCCTCTTGGCTTCTTAGCGCTGCCCAGGGAATGGCTGGAGGGCAGACTTGGCTGAGGGGGGGCTACAGCCTGGGGGCAGGGCGGTGCTTCCAGGGCCCCACATCCCTGCCCCAGTGGCCTGTCACCCCAGGAGCACCCCAACACTTCCTCACAGATAGCTTTACCTTTACCACAGCAGGAGAGCGGATGCCAAGAAGGTGGCAGGAAGCTGAGAACACACAGAGCCCAAGGAGGGTGGAGGCAAGCACAGCAGTGAGCGAGAGGACAGAGCAGGGGCTGGAGGCAGCGGGACGCCCCGAGACAGGAGCTCCTGAGAAGACAAAAGGCCCGAGACAGATCAGGAAGTCGAGGCACAAAGTGATGAGGACCCTGAAAGACACGGGACCCAGGCAGAGCCAGGTCCCTGAGGTGAATGGCAGCCCCCAAAGGGACCCGAGCCCAAGATGGTGGAGGGGACAGGCCAAGGGTGCTGGGAGGAGCCCTCGGCGGAGGATAGGCCATGGGTGAGAGACAGGGCAGCTGCCAGGCAAATTCAAGTGGAGTGGGGTTTGGGGGACACTCGTTGGGCCCCAGGAGCAGTCTGTGGAACGCTGGGTTTGAGGAATACTCTCGGGTCCCAGAAGTGGAGTCCAGGGAACACTGAGTTTGGGAAACCCCCAGTCAGGCCCCACAGAGCTTTAGCACCAGGGCCTGGTGGTCACTACTCAAACACGGACCAGGGCCACCAGCAGGACAGACTCGGGGCCGGTGGCGGGGGCCCGGCCTGGCGCGCTCACTTCTTGCCCTTGAATGTACCCAGGATCTTGGGCATGAACTTGCCCACCTTGCTGTCCCTGGCGTCCTCCTCGGCCAGGCTGTCCCCTGCCCCGGCCTCCTCCTTTTTGCAGAAGACCTCGAAGCGGCTGTAGACGCGCTTCTCCTTGCGCATGCTCTCCATGCGGCGCAGCAGCCGGTCCCGCTCCTCGGCACTGGCGGGCAGCGTGCGGCTCAGCCGGGCCTGCGGCCCTGCGCCGTCTGAGCGGAAGATGGCCGAGCACTTGTCCTTGTCGGACATATCTGGGGCCAGGTCTCCGGCCGCCGGCGGGCGCCCCAGCTCCGGGCTGCTGTGGGCAGGGACCCCTCGGTGCTTCTGGCCGTGGGCGCTGATCTGCTCCAGGATGGCCTTGGTGTCGTCCCGCAGGTTGCTGCTGTACAGGGCGTTGGCCGTGGCAGAGGCCAGGCGCACCCGCCCGCCCCGCTCCTCCGCGGCCTCGGCGCTGTCGCCCCGGCTCAGCGATGGCCGCCGGGGACTCTCGGGCTGCCCGTTCTCCTGGGGCGCCGCGGCGCCGCCCTCCTCCTCTCCACGCTGCTCGCTCTTGGGGCTCAGCAGCTGCCGGAGGCGCAGGGAGCCCTTGCGCAGGGCCTCCATGGGGCCGCCCGCCGCCTCCTCCGCGGGGCTGGCCTTCGGAGCCTCTGCGGAGGTGAGGCTGCCCCTGCGCTCGGGCACAGGCGGCACCGGGCTGCCCCT